AAATATATATGTAATATTCTGTGGATATAGTAAATAACAATATTCAATTTAATTTATATTCTTGGAATTCTTCTTATCGCGGTTTATTGTTATTCTACCGGTTTGTGTATTGTGTACAATTTAGTATTTACCAACGCTATCTATTGTCACATAATCCGTACTAATTTACGGGTTTCCATATTGCGTATAGCTATGGGCTATCTATGTATATTTAATCAATGTATATATGTATAATACAATAAACATAAATAGTTTAATAAAAAAAAAAATTAAATATTAAATGAATATTCATATTATGATCAAGATTAGGTGAACACATATTCATATCACACTACATTACATAATTTATTATATAAAATAACAAAAAATATATATGTACAATATATTATAATACAATATACGTCATAAATAGTTTAATAATAAGAAAAAATTATATATAAAATTAACATTCATATTATATTCAACATGGAAGCTATAAAAATATTATATGGTGAACACACCACATTAAGATTTTTACCTTTTTTTTTAGAGTGTTTTTCGTACCACAAGTTGGCTAACAGTTTTATGGGGTCTTTTTCATTGTGTTTAATTTTACACTTTCCTGACAGTATCCTGTTAACTTCGGTACACCAAAAATGAAGAAATAAATTTACAATGCATTCAGCAATTTTATATTGAATACTATAATCATGCTTTGGACAGTGTAAAATACTTAGATTAAAATTTGAAAGAATTTTATCTATAAGAATTGATTTAATTTTGGTGTGATGGCATACAGAAGGTAAACATTGAGTGATATTGACAATTATTTTACTAACTAATAAACCAAATGATGGTGCTGGATATTTTAAAGATGGTCGAGAAGGTTGGTATTCTCTAGCTTGTAATAGCTCATAGTTTTCACTAGATGTATTATTTGAGCATATTAGTTTTAAACATGTTTTACAATTTTTTAATAAGTTTTTATTAATTTTTTTGATAATATACCCAGAAATAAATGTATGCGTGAGGTCTCTTAAATACTGAGTTGTATCAAGCTGGTTAGGAATAACTTGTTCAGGTAAATCACACGAAAGAAGTGGCATTTCTGGAGTTTCTTGTCTAATGGAAAATTTGTACGTCAGTAAACATCCTTCAGTGAAATCCTCACAATTTGCCCCAGGTGAGTGAGATGAAAACAAATTATTAAGTAGTAATGTTTTGTATGAAGACATGAAAGTGCTGCACKTAGGATTTGAGCATCCAACACGTCTAATGCCTCCAAATAAGTTTTCTAAAGAATCTTGGTTTAAAACTCTGGGAAGTAATGATTGTATCCCCTTAATGTGTAAAGCCTTTGATAATGTTTGGAATCCTAAAAAAAATAGTGATCTAAAACATTAATATGTTAATTGAAAACCCCGTTGAAAACTGATAATGCCAGAATAAAGTAACTCACCCTTAATAGTGATTTCCCAATTTTTTATTGTTGGTATACTGACGGCTTTTCCGTTTTTGTTAACAAATTTCATAGTAGACAATACTTAAAATATGTTACCAATCATATCTGTATCTGTTAATGTAGATTCTAAATTATGAATACCAGACATAAATGATAAATCAAGGTCAATGTCAACACTATTCATACTTAAACTTTGTACTTCTCTGTCATTATTGTGTGACACAGATGAACTCGGATCAGAAACYAAAAACAATTGTATTCATATAAAATGTATAAAATAAATAGCATATGCTCAACTAGTGTTAATAAAATAAATATTATAAAAGCATATTATGTTGAATAAACAAATAAAAATCAAGTTAACCAGATAAAGTTTTATTATTTACCATCATTGTTTGACAGCCAAAGTATTGTGGGACACTATTGTCTTGGGTATGCTAATGTTGGTTCCTACAGGTATACAAAAAACATTTATTACTAAAATGTTAAAATGGTTAAATGTTAATACATACTTGGTAAATTAATAAGCGGGTATGCATTTGCATTAAGTCGCTTGGTGCCTGGACTTGAGCAGTCTGGTGTGAAATGCATAGCACATATAAATTTTGTTTTATAAACAGTATTTGGATCTATGTTATCTAAACCTACAATTTTAATCCATTCTATAAGTCTGGGCATATCAGAACGTGGATTTGGAAATCGATGGCAGACCACATCTAATCAAAATAGGAAAAGCAGCAGATAATTAAATTAAATTAAATTGTAATTGTACCTACATCAAGAATAGTAACAAATATAATATTATGCTTATCTTAAGTACTTATTGATTATTAACTGTATACCTATATTTGACAATAAATTATCAATTGTCAAAAAATACCCATTATGTTGTTGATTTATGTTTAAAGTCTACAAATGTTAAAGATAACTTTATCTTTTTCATATTATATAATTTGAAATGAAAATACCTACAGTGCATTYGTTTTATTATATTATAWTATAATATAATGTATACTAATCTATGATTCAAAGCAAAACGATGAATAACAAGTTAACACATTGATGTTGAAAGTACCATTTTATTCAATAGATATACAGTAAAATTGATCGATTGTCCGTCAACGTGTTAAGAAAAAAAATGTTGTTTAATTATTATTGTATATAATTATAAATTATTTCAGAAAATTAGGAGGTACATATTAGTTATTTAAAAATATAAAATACATACCTTTGGATTTACAGCCATGTACAACACACTTCGAAACGTTCTTAGATGGCATCATAAACAAGTAACAATTAAGGACTAAGGAGTATATTATGCAGAGTATATACTATATATGATATATAGACAACACCGATACAGAATTGCAACTTTCGAGGAAAAATATCAAATAGCAATAATACTTAATAGTTAATAGCTTACAAAAAATATAAGAATAAATCGAGGACGGAGAACATAGTGAACATACAGTAAGTAACCGAAACACATGACAAATTCAAATCCCAGCGAATAACGGCCAAGGCCAAGGCGCACGACCGGTGCGACGGTGCCCAACCGTAGCCGAGACATACAGCGCTAATGGTGGTTGTACGATGAATCTATACGGTACAAAACGCTCCCATTGAGTTGCACCAGCCTGAGCTAGACTGAAGGBATTAGGTAAAAACCACAGATTATATATAGTCTGTGTAAAAACCATAGACATATAAATATTATTATTTATATGTCTATGGTAAAAACAAATTGTTTTATCTATTCTTTTTAAATTTTTTATCATTTATCAGTTGTTTATCCATCATATCTTATCAACTATAAAAAGTCATGGAATAATCAAATAAACATTATTTTTTTCTTCAAAATTTTTGCTTATCAGAATATTATGTCTTACTCATTTTTGCTGAAGGCGCAGTCCATATTTTAGTTAATAGGACAGGACAGCTGCAGCAGGCTGCATTGCTGCAGCAGCAGGCTGGTCTATGCTACATACAATAAACAACAACAGTGCGCCTCCGCGGACGGCAGTATCATATTATCACAATCACACCCGTATTATATTTTTAATATTTATATATCGTTTTATATTTACTTTTATTTTAGAGAACATTCGATGTACATATTAAAATAATAAAATAGTAAATATTTTAACATTTCGTCTGCTGTGGTGTCTCTTTTGAATTGTCGAGTCACTAAAAAAGATGGCCGTGGCTGGAGAACCTTTGAACTTAGCGAAAGGCGAGTTTTAGTTAACAATCAGTTTTAATTTTCTAATTTGTGGTAGTATTAATTTTAATTWATTTTTACATATTATATAATTTTCACAGATGTCAAACGTGCCATCGAACTATTGGAAAAGCTTCAAAAAAGTAATAAATCCACAATTTAATCTTTTATATTATATCAAAGTTAAACTACTTGTATACATTTGTCTAGCTGGAGAAGTGCCGGTAACCAAATTAGCTGCGTTGCAAAAAGTATTACAGAGTGACTTCTTAGCATCAGTGCGGGAAGTATACGAACATGTTTATGAAACTGTTGATATACAAGGATCTCAGGTGCTTAACATTTTATTCATAATTTGTATCCGCACTGACCTAAATAATAATCTTTTTGTGATAGGATGTCCGTGCATCAGCCACAGCTAAAGCAACCGTCGCAGCGTTTGCTGCTAGTGAAGGTCATGCACATCCAAGAGTGGTGGAATTGCCGAAAACAGAAGAAGGACTTGGATTTAATGTAATGGGTGGCCGAGAACAAAATTCTCCGATCTATATATCACGTATAATACCCAGTGGTGTAGCTGATAGACATGGTGGTTTAAAGCGAGGTGATCAACTTTTGTCTGTTAATGGAGTGGTTAGTTGCTTTTTAAACTTTATTTATTATATTGTATTTACTCTAAACCTAAAGAAAATATTTTGTAGTGCGTTGAAGGTGAAAATCATGAAAAAGCTGTAGAGTTATTAAAACAAGCCCAAGGTTCTGTCAAATTAGTTGTCAGGTATACTCCAAAAGTCTTGGAGGAAATGGAAATGCGATTTGATAAGCAACGTGCTGCTCGAAGGAAGCAACTCAACCAATAATTACATACTGTTGGTATGAATAATAGTCTACGTAACTGAATAGTATTTGATCAACTTAAATTGCATACTTATTTAGTTTAAGGGTTGTTAAAATATTGTTTTAATATGGTTGCCACCAAGTCTTGTCCTTACTCATGTATTTGTGTTCTCTAATCAAAGAAAAAATTATGTTTTGTGTTTGCAATAACAACCATAAATTATATACAATAATTTAATTAATTAATAAGTAACAACAAATTGATTTACTTAAAGTATGTGCTTAGGTTAATCAACATAGAAATGACAAAATACTGACAAGTAATTATAGATTTAAACCCACCATTTAAATAATTTACTGTGAGTATCACATCATAGAAAAATTGAAATGTTTTTAAATTATTCTTTATTCTCTTCATATCTTTAAAAACTTATTATGTACACTTTAATATCATTGAATTAAATGTTGGTTTCATTTTAAAAATACATTTTAATTTTATAAAACATTTTTTACATTTTATTCGTTCATAATCATATTGATACACATAATGTTAAAATGTTTAGTTTTTATTTAGGCTAAATGTTAGTTGTTTAATAATTTTAGTGAAAATTCATTCTAGTATTTATTCAACTAACTCTATTTTTCCACCTCAGTATAACCACTTTTGTTTCAGATAACCATTTTAAATATGAATTATATAATATATTAACTATTCATTGTGATCATGGAATTTTGAAAATTTTTTTGCACCACCAATATTAAAATGAATTTAGTATTATCCTCTAACAAAGTTAACATAACACTCAAGTGTTCTTTATATTTTATTATTTTTTGTTATTACTTATTTTTTCTTATGAAYATTGCTTAAACTAAGCATATACATTTTGAGTTTATAGAGTGTTAGTACTATTATAGTTATACATAGTTATATTATATTTAATTAGTGTTTTTAAGAATTTGTATTAATAGCTATAAGCCATTAAATAACTCATCAAGATTACAATAGATTATTAAATACTTCATAGTTTAAGATTATCACTTTTTTTTCAGTATTATAATTTAAAATAAATTAGAAGTTTGATATACACTATATTTTGACAAATAATTACAGAGAAAATCTGCAATTATAATTCATTACCTGCTTACAAATTTTAATTAAATATATTACTATTAGTTATAAATGTTATAATATATAATTACAATATTCAAATAGAAATGTAGCTGTTTTCATTATTATGTATTACTTAGTACTGTAAAAATTATATTAAAAAATCAAGCAAGCCCCTATACTGTATAGAAGGTTACAAAAGTGCTTTGAATTTTGACGCCACCTTGATAGTATAATTGACTATTTAATTATTACTAGAAAGTATTTAGCAGTGGTGTCATTTCAGTTTTCAATAAAAGGGCAAAGGTTTTGGCCTACCAATACGGGTAAAAAATAAAAATAACTGCTCGCAAGCACATATCAACTTAAATTTTTTAATTCTTAAGTAACTTACCTGTAGTTTAATATTTTTGCATGTCGGTTTTTAGCCATACCACTTATTTCTTTTTTTAAGTTATGTTTTGTCCATATCAAAAAAAAAAAAAAGTGCGTCACGAAAAAAATTTAATAATACCTTGGAAGAATAATTAGTTATTGAACTAAATGAACAAAATGATAATCGGTCAAAAAGCCTGGTATGGAAATAGTTGGACAAAAAGTTCGAACACATTTTTAGTGTCGATAAAAAGTCCGAAAATACAAAATTGTCTAATTTTTCATAATTGTGTAATTATAATATTATATATATATATATTTTCTTATACCTAACATAAAAACAACAGAAATCTACTGGATTATGATTTTTAAGATAACATATTATAAAACATCGATAATAATTTAAAATGAGTTATGTGTTTTAAAAAATTGTCAATACAAAAATTGATCCAAATATAATATAATAATAATATTTAAAAAAAAAAGTTATATGTCATAAAAAATCTAGTCTACAGTAATAAAAATATAATAATAATATTTTTTTAAAAAAGGTATTTATACGATATATTTACAGATATAATTTAATATGCATTATGTTTTTTTTAAGCAATGAACTATCTTATTTAAAAATTCTGCTCGTTATTAACAATCTTTGTACATAAATATTGCAATTTTACATTTTTTTCTGATCCATGTTTATTTTTTCTTACTGGTTCCATATTATGTAATGATATTTTAGCTTTATCTACCCCCAGTTCCTCACAAAATTTATTAATCAGCTTCCAAATTGTTGGATGACTATCGGACTATGCCTGATTAAATGCGCAAACCTATTGTTCCAGCTTTCACAAGTATTATTTGTACGGTGTCTGGAGTGTAATGTAGCCTCGTGTACGTTCCATGTTTCAGGGGGTGTACAATGGCTTATTCCGTCTGAATTTTGAAACCCCGACTATCCTATATGTTCCAGTAACATATGTCGCATCAAAATAGTCAATTATATCTGTATTGTCGGGTGCACAAATTGATTTCAGGTACTTCRTGCCTTCAATCACTGTGCACCGGCAAAAAAGCTAAGCCATCGATCATACTATACAATAATGGCTAAAGACGTTATCATATTTATATTTATTTTGTAACTCTTGTAGTTTTCTATGAGTGCTTTGGTACAAATTATAGAAACAACCTTGTATTACCAAATGTTCACCATTGACGGTTTTTGCTGCTTGAATAACAGCTTGTTCGAAGTCCATGTTCATTATCCGAGGATCGGGATAAACATTGTTTTCGGAACATTTATTGAGTATTGCAATAAACATTTCTTCATACCGTTACTGTACTACGAGTTTTCTTTTTTGAAGTACCTAAACAAAATATTGGGGTAATAATTTTATCATACTTTTTACTCTAATAGCATATAATTGCAAAAAAAAAATTCAGGACTTGATTTAAAGTTTCCATCGCAAAACCAAGTATCTAACTCCGATAAATGAACTAATCCTTCATCCAATGAAACAATTATGATTAGCTCATTCAATCCTGGACCATTATCATAAAGCAAAAATCGTTCATCTTTGTACATCGCCCATTCATTATTATTTATAAGTTCTGACAAACATGTCGGTTTTTTGTGGATTATCTTTACTTTTTTGACGCCGCAACATTCTTTTGGTTGTTTGATTGTTTCTTCATTTGCAAAAGATGTTAAAGCCTGCTCTGAGACCTGATTTACTAMACTTGACAGCAAGAATTTGTGAAGGAGTTGACGTTGAAAAAATGTTGAAACACGTTTTAACATTTCAGACTTGGCTTTTTCGACTGTTTCTAGATTCTCATCACCAGCATGTGCATGTTCAACCTCAATTATTGGATTTTTATAATCTAATTAAATGTTTAAAAGWGTTTTATTAAAAATATAAAATATAAATTTTTAAAATTTTTTAAGCTTACCTTTGGAAGTTACTAAAWTGCCYGGACATTTTTTTGAAATTTTATTGGAACATTTCCACCGAATACTAGAAACCAGATTATTTTCTTTTATTACAAAAACTTTTATTTCAACCTCCATCTCGACTTAGTCGACTAAATAACATCTAGGGATACACTGACTAAGTAACAAATTAAATTTATAATTCACGTCCGCTACGTCCCCATGAAATCGATTATATTGATGAGATAAATGTAGGTATAAATAATATTATAAGTACCTCTGGTACTTATAAATATTATCTAGATTTATATTATAATCGTGGTAATAACGCTATTTTGTAGCACGTAGATTGTAAGTATGATATTATGGTAGATAAACTGTAGACGTACATTAGATCCATATAGACCTACTTACCAAACTATTGCGGATTTCCGTAATATTTTTTTTCAGGTATAAGAAATAAGAAAATAAAAAAAAAGTAGGTGCAATGATATAATAATGTAATACATGTATTACAATTTACAATTTTTTAAATTAATAATAATTAATATAATTAATTAATTAATTAATTAACTAAGTAATATAATATAAGGTACATTATGATTATAAATGCAAATTGAATAGACAATTTTGTATTTTCGGAATTTTTGTCCAACTATTTCCATACCGGACTTTTCGTCCGGGAATCTAACAAAATATATAATAGTAAGTTTACTGCGATACACGACTGTCACAACTYGTGAATTCACTGAAGACTGAGGTCTGACTATCGGTGACTTGACTCCCGAGATCGATCATCAATGATTAATTAGAGTGCCAATCGATTGTTGTTTTTAGAAATTTGTATTAATTTTAGATTTTAGAGATAAAACGCATACGGGATTATGATATTTATTATTATTATTGGTGTGCATACAACTTACTATAACTGTATTGTGTTCATTTTCTTTCACAAAACACACAAAGCACGTCCCCCATGCGTCTAAATGTAAATATATTTCAACTATCAATAATTAATTGAAAATATATTATTGTGACAATAACATAAAAATTTAAAATGGCATGTTTTTGCGGTAATGAAATATAATTATATAGTTAAACAACAATAACCGGCGACCGGCCCATTGGGCTACTTTTTAAAATCGTACAGGGGCAAATCTTACCTCCCCAACCAAATGGCACCACTGGTTATAAGTAATTATATTTATTGACATAATTAGTGGCATTTGCCTAATTTACCTAATGCAACTTTKATCTATGAGATAGACWCAGTGTCGTAGAAACCGCGGTGCGGGCGGTTCATTGCACCGGAGCCCCGCGTTGCAATTTCTAATGTGAGGCCCATACTTAAATAAAATAATATAAGAATTAAGAATCTATACTAATAACAATTTTTTTAATAAGATCATAATATAATCATAATGCCGTTAACACTTTGTTATTTTAGTGTAATTAGCACCGCCAGGCTTCAAATTAGCACTCCCAGTTCCAATATAATAACATGTATACTAATATAATTATTTTTAAATGTTTTGAATACATAATATATTATGTACAGTATAGTAATATA